CCTCGTGTTATGTGCCAGTCCATACAGACAGTCCAGAGGAAGGAAAAGGAAACTCATGGGACCTACAGGTCTTGCAGAGCGTTTCTCCTGAGCTCTGCGCCAGGAAGAAACGGCCTCTCCACGCATGCAGCACGATCCTCCGACGCTCCTTGGAGAGCTCTTCCCGGCTATTCCAAAAGATAACAAAAGTTCAATCAGAAATCTATTAGCTGAACAGGAGGAAAAACAGTTCCACTCCAAATGCCCCGGTGAACAGATTTCATTTGGTGAGGATTGGATGTAACTATGTCGTGTTAAGCTATTCTAATGATTTTTAGTTTAGAAATTTTTGGTAAATTGTCACTTCCCTTGGCTTCCCAGCACACGTTTCATACATGAACGTGCACCACAAACGTGCAAGACGGTGATTCCAAGACATCTGGGAACTCTCCGCCACTATCTGATATCTCTGTGGCCCTGTGATGACGGCCCAGGGACAGGAGCCAGGCAGCCGTGTGACTGTGGGCCTGACCTTCTGGAGAGACCTGGTGGCACAGTGGTCTGTACCCTGATTAGCCTCAGAATGCTTACATTTTCTCTATTGACAAAAATGCAAAATATGGCTTTTGCAATACTCAAGACAGTGTCAAGAGTTAAGCCTTTCAATACGGGTACTTTGAAAACTGGAGTTTGTAATCTTGGTTACTAAAAAACTGGGAGGCTTTTTTTTTTCCTTAAACTGACAGCACTAACATGGTTTTAGATAATTCTTAGGTAATCTATCTATCTATCCTTATATATTCCCATGGAAGCTTCATAAGGAAGCAATTATAAAACGTAAAAACCTCCCAACCGTCACCAACATTGACCCATTTCTTACTTTTGGAAAGTTGTTTCCTTTTTGTTAGCACGTAGATCATTCAGAAAAGGTGTTAACTTCTTTTATTTTCTGGTACATTTCTAAGTACCCTTCTCCAGCCAATTCCACAGTAAAATGTTGCTGCTACAAGGAATGGTGTTGGTAAGGTACCAGTAGGTCCTTGCTTTAGACCTACACTGGAATTAAGAATGACAGCCCCAGAGAGCCTGGTAAGCGGCAGCCATCAGTGTGATGCCCGGGTGTCCCACAGAGCGATGCCATGAGCTTCGTACAATCACTGCCCTGCGCCACTGAGTACCAGCCTTTAGCTCTCACTAACTCTGCCTATGGTTCAGACCTGGACCAATGTCACTCAGAGTCATGTCCAGTTATGACCCAAGTCAGTCTGAAGAGTCAGTGAATAGAATACAATAGGTTTTATTGGATTACGCTGCATTTTGATGCTTGTCCCTTTTCTTTTCCCTAAGACTTACTAGATGACTAAAAAGGACTAGTTTAAAAGTTCAATGACAGAGAGAGAGATTGAGATTTATGTGTGAAACACTTCTAAACATGCCCTATAAGTACAGTAGATCTCCCCCTTACAGTCACACCCTGTAAGTGCTGTATTTTCAGAGCTGAACAATTAACATAAGGAGCATGAGTCAGGCTTTGAACAACTCTGTGGGAACCAGAAAGCCTTTTGCTATTAGGAATGATGTAAATTCCCCAAGGCTGGAAGAAGTCCACAATGGAGGCAGACAGGGTCATAAATAACAACAATGGATACTGCACAGACCACATAACATATGATGCTGTCTGTGATAGTGACACTCTTTGCATCTCACATTCGATTCAACCGCTGCCTTTATTTATTTATTTATATGTTTTTTTAAGCTTTTCCTATGGGAACTTCAAAAACATCTCTAAAAAGCACAGGACAATCTACCCGAAGTCCTCTGACAACAGACAATGGGGGAAATGTCCTTGGAAGAAAACAACAACAGAAAGAGTGACAGAGTGGCAGAAGGAAATGTCCAGCTCACAAAGTGCAAAACCTGTGACTTCGTGTGTAAAAAAAAAAAAAGAAAGAAAGAAGGAAAGAAAAGAAAAAGAACAAAGAAAAAGGTGAGGCAGGGTCTCCCGCGTCCAAATTAAAACCACATTTGGCATTTTGTTGAAGGAGGCATATTTACATTTGTATGAAGACTGGGTGGGCAGGGGAGAAAAGAGATTAGACTCCTTCAGCCCTTGAACTGTCAGATCTCATTAGAAATCTCTCACTCTTACATTTTAGGGTTAATTCACTCCCCTTTGTCACTAAATTGCAGCCTCCGGTGCCCCCCAAACAAGTATTCCAGAGCAAGCAGCTACCACCTCGGAGCAGGACTTCCCAAGGGACTTGTCCTGATTACTAATGGCTTCTCACATCTGGCATCAAAATGCAACCGTGGCTTATACAGAAGCAAAAGTCTTAAGGCTGAGGTGGCAAGTGCCTCCAGGGCTTACCCGGATGACACTGCTGCTTTTCAGATTCTGTGTGACTAACGACCCTGACATCTTCTGCAAAGAATACAGACAAACCCAACATATTCAAGAAGGCTACGGGCAGGCCATCCAAAGTCCAGAGTGAGCACTGCACGGGGATTCAGGATTTAAGAAACAGGTTAACCAAGAGGATTGCTATGGGTCATCATCAATCATCAATGATTCTTCACAACCTGGACGCTAGCTCTGAGTCTAGCTAAGGAAGAAAATGCTGCAACTATCTTTCCCTGGTCACCTCTCCCCCCATTTATTTATTTACCTTTGGTAATACTTTGAGGATTTTGGTTTTAAAAATGTCCACCTGTAGGGACTTCCCTGGTGGCACAGTGGTTAAGAATCCACCTGCCAATGTAGGGGACACAGGTTTGATCCCTGGCCCGGGTAGATCCCACATGCCGTGAAGCAACTAAGCCCGGGCACCACAACTACTGAGCCTGCGCTCTAGAGCCCGTGAGCCACAAATACTGAAGCCCGCACGCCTAGAGCCCGTGCTCCACAACAAGAGAAGCCACTGCAATGAGAAGCCCGCGCACCACAATGAAGCGCAGCCCCCGCTCGCTACAACTAGAGAAAGCCCGTGCGCAGCAACGAAGACCCAACACAGCCAAAAAATAAATGAAATAATTAAAAATAAAATAAAATAAAAACGTCCACCTGTAAAGGTGTGTCTATATACAGTTCCAGGGAGCAACCAAACCGAAGTGGAGCAAGGCTACCGGCCCCAGAAGTCTAATTAGGGAGATACCCTCCTCAGCAGCTTGAGCAGCCCAGGCAGGCACCCAGAGCAAGGGGTCAGGCCCGCCTCCATTCCTGGGGATGTTCTGGAGACCAGTGGATGCACCGTACGTCAAGGACAGCCAAGCACAGGTCCAATGGGGAGGCAGAGCAGGTGAGTGTCTAAGTGTGATGGGGGTGGGTATTACCCCCAATGCTGTCTGGTCTGACCTGGGAAACATATTTTAAATTCCTGGACAGAAAAGACTACAAAGAGAATACCCACCAGAATGAGCTGGGTTGAAATGTAGTTAGAAATACTAGTGGATGTTCAAGTTACAAAGCAAGTTGCAATTGTGGATAAATCAAGGATTTATTCACTCCACAGTGACTTACTGAGTACTACTTTTGAACAGAACACTGTTGGATTAATGAGGGATGGGGAGTGAAGGTGGCCTAAAAAATACATTAAAAATACCCGCTCTTAAGTTTATATCCTCCTCAAGGAGTCCATAAAACATACCCAGGCCTCCCAAAGGCTAGTGGGAAGATTAGCTGTTATCAGAGGCACAGAGGGAGCTTTTCAAAAATATTGATTCTTGGGACCCATCCCTGGAAGTTCTGAGTCACAAGATCTGGGGTGGGGCTAGGAGATCTATATCTAGGCTCCCAGGTGATTCAAGGACTACTGATGTGCATGAAACAAAGCTCAAGAGAGCAGAGCAGCAGGTACACAAATGTAAACTGGCACACCAAGGCAGCATCTGGCAGAGAGCGGCCCAGGTGTGCAGCATCAAAATCACCTGCGGAGCTTGTTCAAAAATGTCCAGAATTCTACCCCAGAATCTACTGCATTTGGGTTTCGGGGCTGAGAGGGTGGCGGGATCAGGGCATGCACATTTTAGCAAGTTCCCCAGTGATTCTGATACCCGGCAGAGTCAATAAACTTCTGTTCTTAGGGGCATGGAATTGAAAACCAAGCAGAGTCATCCAATCAGGCACCACTGAACTCTGCACCAAGCATCGTCTGAGGTCCTTGCAGAGACGGACATGGACCCACAGAAAATGTTCTTCCTCTCATGGAGTCTCCACCCCAGTGGGGAAGACAACAAACAAAAAACCATACGATGTCAGGTGGTGATGATGTTATGAGGAGAAATGAACCTCTAAAGGGTTGCTGGGGTGCAGTTTTACATATGGTGGTCAGGGAAGGCTATGGGAGGTAACAAGGTAAGCTCTACCCTCAGACCTGAGTGGAGGATGGGCCGCACAAGCACCTGAGAAGAGCATTTCAAACCTGGGGAGGGGTCAGGGAGCAGGTAAGAGGTGCTTGCATGTGTGTGTGCGTGTGTGTGTGTGTGTGTGTGTGCGCACGTGTGTGTGTGTGTGTTGATGATGGTAAGGCCACTGGAAGGTTCCAAGAAAAGTGACTTGGTATTTTAAGTGGATCACCTTGGGTATAACAGAGGGACAAGGGTGGAAGCAGGGAGACCAGTGATGAGGATACTGCAATGGTCCATTCAAGGATGGTGGGTCTTGGAGGAGGCAGGTGGTGGGGAGTTGTAGTCTGACTGGAAATACAATTTGAAGGGAGACCCAACAGAATAAGCTGATGGCTTGGATACAGAGAGTGAGCGGAAGGAAAAAGTCGAGGATAACTCCATGATCCGTGCTTTAAACAACTGGACGAAGGAAGTCACCCTTTACCAATACAGGAAGTACTGGGCGGTGGGGTGGGGGGGCGGCCTTGGGGAAGTGAAACCAAGAAATGTGTTTTAGGTATGTAAGCTTTAAGAGCTGTCCTGGATGAAGAATGGAGATGCTGAGCAGGTGGCTAAGCTACAGCTTCTAGGAAGAGAGAGAGTTCTGTCTGCAGACACAAAGCTGGGAAGTCCACAGACACGGTATTTAAAGGCATCTGTCTGGATGAGCTCCGGGGGGGAGTGCATTTGGATGAGAAAAAAGAAGTTGAGAAGACGAGGATTCAGGAAGGAAGACTAAAAGGGAATCATTAGTGAGGAAAGAGAAGAGTCAACATAACATGGTGTCCCTGGAGGCAAGAGGAGAAATGGCTTCGTTAAAAGTGACAACTGTGTCAAAAGCGGCTGAGCCTTCAGGAGTGAAAACTGGCCAGTGGAAGGTGACTTGACGTAAGCTTTTTTTGGTGAAGCGCTGGGACCCAAGCATACCTGGAATGTGTCCAAGAGTGAAGTGGAGGCAGAGTGGAGACCAGCACTCTCCAGTGGAGATATGACCTGTGCTGTATAGGTGACTTTAAATCTTCCAGGGACCCATGAAAAAGTAATAGGAAACTGGTGACATTAGACTTCAATAATGCATTATTCAACTCCAAATGTTACCTTTACAACGCATGATCCGTATACAATTATTGAGAGTTTATATTTTCGTACTGCCTTTGAAATCTGGGGTGGATTCTACACTTCTAGTATATCATTTCTGACCGGCCACACTTCAAATGCTTAATATCCAGATGTGGCCAGTGGCCACAGTACTGGCCAGCATGGGTGCGGACAATGCTTTTGGAGAGTTCTGCAGTAAAGGGGGAGCAGAGAAACTGGGTGGTAGCTGGAATGGGCACGGTGGGTAATGGAGGGTGAGTCTGGGATGACTCTGCAACAGGCATATTTGGTGCGATGTGATCAGCCACCATGTGTCAACCTGCAACTGAGTTCCAGGCACTGTTTCAGAAGCTTTGCATGTATTCATCAATGACACCCTCAGAACAACTTGGGGAGGCAGGGAGTTTTCTTATTACTGCGCTGCATTCGTGGACAAGCAGCACGAATGCGATCCCATTGCTCATCGGACAGCATGGCTTCTTGGGAACATGTTGCTGCCAGTCCCCTGGCACCTGGCTGCAGGCCCCCAGGATATCAGTATCAGTCCAGGGTGGATAGATCCTGGGGGCCATGATGTCAGCTGACCCTGTGTGGGCACCAGTGTCACAGCTCAGGCCAGCTACTGCCTGCCGCAGCCTGGTGCACTGGCCCCCCTTACAGCCCTGGGTGGAAGGTATGGCAGAAGTTATCCTGCCAAACTCTTGTTTCCAGGATTGTAGAACATTCTACCAGATATGAAGGCAGTAACGGGAGAAGGAGAAAAAAAAGATCCTCAGTGCTGTTAAGATTTTTCTCACAGAAGCACTTAATGCAGTAACACGGTACTCTCAGTCTTTATCTTTTGAGAGTTGGATCTATTTTCTCATGGTTATATACATGAGTTTCTTCTGATTCTGTTTTGTTTACTCCAAATGAAAACAGCTAATAACCCAAACAGGATATTTTAAACGTAATCCGTAGAATATTAGAATACATAGCCCTTAAATCACATTCATAATGTGACTGTATCTGAATTCCTTGTGATCACATCTGCTCAGAACGACACACCCAGAATTGATGAGATCAGGTTAACGCTCCTGGGATGCAAGGTGGAGCACAGAGGTGAGGGGGACAGAGGCCAAGGAATGGCACCCCTTGGTGGCTTGTCCCAGAGCCAGTTCCTTAAGCCCCTCATAGTTGGTTCATGATTGTTTGGGGAATTTAAATGCAGCAAGAGGTATGAAACACACTTTGGAAACTGGAAAGCATTGAGCATGTTTTCTTGACATTGTTGTGAAAGAAAATCTGACACCTGCGCAGACCACATGGGTTTATAAGAAGGCGAAGGATGCTCTGCATCTGTAGGAAACTTACATGATTAAATTCTTTCCCCACATCTCACTGGGGCCTCACTGAGTATTTGGCAGACAGGTAGTGTCCCTATTTGACAGAACGAGACCCAGGAGATTAAGTGTCTAAGGCCACACATTTAGCTGGGGACAGGATTGAGTTGAGAAGGCCTGGCCCTGGTGCAGCACTCTCCCCACTGTGCCCAGGGGGTCAATTTGCCATCTTGGTTAGAGATGGAGACGGAGGAAGAGTACAGAACACTGAGCCCAAAGTCCGTGGGTCCAGCTTCCCTAGGTCACTATCTCACTGTGGCATCTAGACAAGCCCCTTACCTTCTCTGAACATCATTTTCCTCATCTATTTTTAAAAACAGGGGGGAGGTGATAATAGCTATATAGTGGGCCCTCACCTATCTCCTGGAAACAATACACAGATTTTCTTTTAGGGAGTCATGTCCCCACTGTCCATCCAAAGTCCATGCCTTTCAGGAGGACTCATCTCCAAGCCTGACTCCAGAAGTGGGCCTGTGACCCAGGCCAGGCGAATCGGAGTTCAGAATTCATGAGCCTCATAGAGATGCATGGGCTACAGTGGCCCAGGAAGGGGCCTGCTCTCTTTTCCCATGAACCTGCAGCCACCAGGACCAACCACCACATGGAGGCTGACCATGAAGCCAAACAGTGGAAGGCAATGCCAACAGACGGTGAGAAACAGTCCTGATGGAAGTCTCTGTCCTCTGATCTCTGGGCTTTTGAGGCACATGAGCCAAAAACCTCC